CCTGTTTTAATTCCTGCTCTATTATCTTCTTTTGATAAGACTCTTGAGAATTACATAGTTCAGGGAGGCTGGGAAAGCCCACAAAACTGTCAGAATAAGAAACGAAAAGGCATAGCTGGGATTTTTGTTCCGAAAATCAGCCCAAGGGCAGCGAGACAGTACTCTCCTGCCTTCAGCCAGAGTCATTCTGCTTTTCAGTTTCTTCTGGAGAACATGAAGTACCGTATTTTTTTGGAAGTATAAGATGCTCCGAAGTATAAGATAAACCTAATTTTTGGGGAGGAAAACAAGAAAAAAAAAGTCTGTCTCTGCCTCTCAGCAATTTGCATCCTTGCACCAAATAGCCAGTTTCAATTTCAGCACAGCCTAGTTAGCACAAGCAGCTGATTGTTGGATCTGCCTCCTGAGGATCAGCTGTTTCAGGCTGCAGGTAACTGCTTCAATGCAGCCTATTGCTATCTCCACACGCCCCAATTTCGGCCTCCGCATCCTGTTTTCAGCCTCCACATGCCCCATTTTCCGCCCATTCCAGGGAGCGGAGGCTGAAAACGAGTAGACGCAGAGGCCAAAAACAGGATGCGAAGGCCAAAAACGGGGCACACAGAGGTGGCAATAGGCAATGGCAATCTGTTCTGTCCCCCCTTCTCCGCTCGTTAACAGACGACAGGCAGACAAACTTAAAAGGAACTCTCTTTATCAGTCCTCGGCTCAAACTGGCTGTGAGCCCCAAAATAAACATAAATAAAGTCTCTGACGAGATAACAGAANGCCTGCTGTACTGCACCCTAACCACTGCGCCACCTTGGCGCAGTGGTTAGATGAAGAACAGTTGTCGGAATTGAGTGACATAATAGCAGCGTTCCAATATTTGAAGGGCTGCCACAAAGAAGAGGGAGTCAGCCTAGTTTGCAAGGCATCAAAAGGCAAGTGAAGAAGCCATGGGTGAAAACTAATCAAGGAGAGAAACAATCTAGAACTAAGGAGAAAATTTTCTGACAGTGAGAACAATTAATCAGTGGAACGACTTGCCTCCAAAAGTTGTGAATGCTTCAACATTGGAGGTTTTGAAGAAGAGATTGGACAGCTATTTGTCTGAAATGGTATATGGTGTTCTCTTGCTTGAGCAGGGGATTGGACTAGATGACCTCCAAGGTCCCTATCAACTCTGTTATTCATTTTTCTGTGTTCAGGTTCCACGCAGCCATTCATTTATACTAAATCTATCTAGCATGCCAGCAAGTTCCACAAGATGCCATAAATGATCTTACTGAAGCTCAGAAAATCTTCTGGCAATATCTTAGGCGGATTCTTCTTCCCATTTTCAGAAAGCACACAGCACTAGTACTTGAATATATATTTCTTTTATTGATTATGGGAAACCTCCCCTGTTTGATGACGAGGTAGATTAAGAAATTTGGCTAGAAAGACGCGACTCTGTTCTCCCATCAAGGGAAGGGAGACCTATGAAAATCTCATCTGCTTACTAAAAGGATTAGTCCCTGGGAGACTCCAGTCTATGAAATAGAACTGCAGACTTAATTCTGCATTTGATATATTTGTCATTTATGAATCTACCTGCTTACTAAACAAACAAAAAAGAGAGAGAGATGAATCTGTATTAAAAGCCTCTGGTAAATTATCCAATTAACTTTGAAAAGATTGTACTGGAGAACAAAAGCAAATAAGCAAACAAGGAAACCTTTGGCGGCACCTCCAATTATTAATTATTGCTAGCTATAAGATTGTGTAGATTCTTTTTGTCGCAGTCAGGATTTATTCTACAAATTAGAAGGAGACAGAATATCAGAGTTGGAAGGGATCTTAAGAGGTCTTCTAGTCCAACACTCTACTCAGGCAGGAAACCCTATACAATTTCAAACAAATGGTTGCCTACTCTTTTTAACTCGCCGAACCCCCCCAAAAATTAAAAATAAACCACAGTTCGATAGTCTTGCTTGCAATTGCAGCCTTTTCTACAGAGGAATTATTGAGTCGGTCATCTGCATCTCCATAACTTTCTGGTTTGGCTCTGCAACCCAACAAGACAGACACGGACTTCAGAGGATAATCAGAACTTCAGGAAAAAACAATTACTGCCAACCTGCCTTCCATTGAGGATCTGGACACTGCATGAGTCAAAAAGAGGGCCGTGAAAATATCTACACACCCCTCACATCCTGGACNTGTGTGAGGGGAACCTTCACCTTTACCCTCAAAGGAAGAGAAGTCCACCTGTCCTCCTCTAAAAGTTATTTCTTGACCTCATCAATGGAGAAGACTTTACCTGTCTTCCACCAACATTTTAGACCAGAGAGCTATTTGAATAATATTGTCTTTCTTCTGCATTAAAACCATCTTAATGATGATTATCCCTCAGGTACTTTTAAAAGATAAGATATTAATTAGACTTGGCTTGTCGTCGCTCATGCTTATAAACCTTTTGTAAAGCATGAATAACAAGAACTCCCTCTCCCTTACCATCTTCATCAACTCTTGCCATTTCTCCCAACGTTAGCCAGTGACAGCATGTCTCCACATGCTGTCACATTTCTCATTTGGGTGGCATTTCGCTTCTGGCTAAATATACATGATCGTAGTATCCACATAATAAATATTGACTTACAGGGAGAATTAGTTGTTGCAGAGGGAGGGGGAGAAGACAATGCATGATAGATTCATATTTGTGATCTCAAAACAAGTCACGACATTGCCCTCTGACCCCTTGAAGGAATGCTTGCTAATGAAATGACTTGAATGGAAAGAACTGTCAATGAAAGATAGAAGATAGTTTTACCCTCAGCAAATATGTAATAACTTGATATTTACAAGTACCATCAAGGTGTCTCCCTCCTCCTCCTCCTCCTCCTCCTCCTCCTCCTCCTCTTCCTCACTCCAGAATTATATTTTAAAGAACCAGTAGGGTACTTTAAAGAAGACACTCTAAACTTGCTAATTTAATGAACTGAAATTGTAATGAGCACTGTGTTTCAGAATACAGGCAAGAGCCGAGGTGACACAGTGGTTAAAGTGCTGTACTGCAGCCACTTCAGCTGACTGCTATCTGCAGTTCGGCGGTTCAAATCTCACCGGCTCAGGGTTGACTCAGCCTTCCATCCTTCCGAGGTGGGTAAAATGCCCCCACAATATGCTGANACTAGAACTCACCGTCTCCTGGTGATTGGCCCAAAGTCACCTAGTTGATTTACTTGCCTAAGGCGGAACTAGAACTCACCATCTCCTGGTGATTGGCCCAAAGTCACCTAGCTGGTTTACTTGCCTAAGGCGGGACTAGAACTCCTTGTCTCCTGGTGATTGGCCCAAAGTCACCTAGCTGGTTTACTTGCCGAAGGCGGAACTAGAACTCCCTGTCTCCTGATGATTGGCTCAAAGTCACCTAGCTGGTTTTCTTGCCTAAGGTGGGACTAGAATTCACGGACTACTCCTGTTTTCTAGTCTGGTGCCTTCACCACTAGGCCAAACCTACTTTTTTTCGTTTGTTTAAATTTAAATTAAATGGGGAGCATTCTCCCCCGTTAATAATTCAAAATCCTGTTCTCTGACATCTACCATATGTCGTCGGCCAATTCGACACAGACGTTAGTGGTTGTTGATATCTCTTTCCATCCATCTCCTGCCTTTTCTGATTTTTGCAGCCCTGATCCGCTACTCCTACGTTTTCCCTGTATTCTTGTTCAATTAAGTTCACGCGCAATTTCTGCACCATATTTTGTTTTGGCTTAGTCAGAGAATGATTCACGCAAGCGATGTAGCCTTTATCACAATATTATGCGGTGACGTGGATTTGTTTAACTGCTAATATTACAGTGCCAGATTCTAGGTGTAACCTTACTTTAAATTGGTAGATTTTTTTCTCTCTCCCCTCATTGGTCTTTTTGAGTAACTTGCGGGTAGGATGGGAGGAGTTGAAAAAAAGAGGTTTTTTAAAATGTGTGATGTTGTCTTAGCTCTAATTATTACTATTAATTGAGAAAGACTAGGTCTATAATTTAAACTACAGATCCCATTTGGGAATCAGACTTTCTGACTGTACTAATTAATAGGGTGTATTTTTCTGTTGCAATCTTAATACGTACTATTGCCACTTAAAAATGTTCAGTGCTACGGTTTTCAGCCTGCATGCATTCCTGGATATATTTATTTCTTATCAGATTCAAAGCCCACCGATTTACACAAATCTTCACAGTAGTTTACAGCATTTCAAAACGAGACAAAATATAAAACAACAGAATGGTACAATTGTGATCCCATTTTATCGTTTTCACGTTCAGAATAATTGGTAAAAGTACGGATAGAGGAGAAGGTTTNGAACCGCTGAACTGCAGATAACAGTCAGCTGAAGTGGCCTGCAGTACTGCACCCTAACCACTGCGCCAAAGGTCCGTTTCAACTCTCTTTATTCTGTTCTGCTCCTCAGAAGGATGCAAAAGCAGATCCCATGACATTGCAACCGTCATAAATATGAGTCGGTTGCCAAGTGCCTGAATTTTGGCCATGTAACCATAAGTGTGAAAAACAGTCGTGTCACTTTTTTCAGCACCATTGTACGTTTAAACGGCCACAAAATGAACTGTTGTTAGTCATGAACTATTGCACGTCACATCTGAAGTGTATGTTCACCAATAACTTAGCAAGCAGCAGATGTGCAAAAATGCATATTATTTTAAACATAATGTCACTTTCGTAAAAGTTGCAAGATATTATGCATGTACAACGTGGGTGTAACAGAACCAGAAAAAAAAAATTGAGATCTCTAATGAATTGAATTCAAAGGGAAACATTTACTGGAGGAAACTTCAAAACGGAGAGAGAAACTGGGAAGAGGATAAATTTATAGTTGTTCCTGTTTTAGATATCAAAACAAGTCTCTTTGATTATACTTAAGAAGGAGCACAGGAAACGAAGACAAGGGGCAAAGAGGAAGACTTAAAAACTACCAGCAATCCGCTAAATTTAAGGTCAGAGTAAGTTTTACTTCTTACCTTGCCTACAGGTTTTGGGAATGGAGGTCTCTGATTTTCAGGAATTAAAATTGGAGGTGCAACAATGGATCTTCTTTGCCGTACGCTCCCAGGGCCATCTTCTGCTTTAAAGAGCTCCTAAGAAGGAATGGAACAATGGATTCAATTAGACCATGGTTTGCAAGGACACCACCATTCATTGTTACTCTTGAAAACAACAACCACAATGTCCATGAGCCTCAGCAAAAAAAAATGTGCGTGTGCCAAACCGGCAATAATGCTTGCAGCAACCTACCCCTGGCTTAATGTATTGGATGAATCTTGTCATTGTGGTTTACTAACCACGGTTCATAGAGCTGGGTGTTGCATACAAATCCGTTCGCTTTTATCGATGAATCATGTCACTAACTGAAAGCATTGCAGGGGTTTTTACTNGCGCACCATCGCCAGCTGATCTTCCAGGTTCCATCGCACGCATACACAGCAGCCAGCTGCTCTCTTCCGGGTTCCAGTGCTCCAGAGGGCGTGCATGCACAAGTCCATTCTCCAGTTTCGGCACTTGGTGCCAAAAAAGGTTAACCATCGCTGGTATGGGGTCTCCTGTCTGAGCAGGGGTTGGACTAGAAGACCTCTAAATTCCCTTCCAACCCTTGTGATTCCGTTACAGAGAACCTATGGCCTCCCTGCTGGATTTGGCTTCAGCTTTAGGAAGGAGTCTTACGATGCAGCGTTTGTGTCAAAGCTTATTTCTTTCCATCAAAGTTGATCTTTCTTCTGCCACTCGTGAATCAATATTCACAAAATTTCAGCCTTTCTTCTGAATTCCAATTGATCTGGAAGATGATTATTTCCCCCCCCCCCCGCCAAAAAAAAAATTAATCTTGGCATTCAAGCCCGTTTTGTTTACTTTAACTCTTTCTCCCATCACCGGTTCCTCTTTTACACCCCAAACGCATCAAGGCGCATTCGGTAACATTCATAATTTCAGCGAAATGCCAGCCTTCATTCATTCTTTCTGCCCCGAACATTCGCAAATGCTCAGGCTCAGAAATGTACATCAAAGAACAATTCAGTTCCCCGTGCAAAATCGTATCAACATTGCTTTTTTGGGCTGCCTTGATCAATATGCACTTAGATGCTGGTAAAAGGTCACGCAAAAAGTTGTTTGCTGCATAGCTGTACAATCAGATCAAAATGGATTTTGGGTAGGAATGGGAGCAGATGAAATTGTCAGATTCAGAATGCTCTGCTTAGCTCAATATTATGTATGCGGACTGACAGCTATTTTCCACTCTTGAGCCTTGATATGTTTCTCTGTTCCCCTCATTGTGGAAATGCAGGAATTCAGCATGAGATATGGGCAGTCCTCGACTTACGACCATAGTTGAGGCCCAAATTTCTGTTGCTAAGCGATGCAGTCGCTAAGTGAGCTTCGCCACATTTTCTCGCCGCGGTTCTTAAGCAACTCACTGCAGTTGGTTAAGTTACTCATACGGTTGTTAAGTGAATCTGATTGACTTGGCTTTGGTGTAGGGTTTCCTGCTTGAGCAGGGGGTTGGACTAGATGACCCCCAAAGCGATAGCAATAGCAGTTAGACTTATATACCGCTTCATAGGGCTTTCAGCCCTCTCTAAGCGGTTTACAGAGTCAGCATATCGCCCCCACAGTC